GAGAAAAGAGAAAAGATTGATTTGGTTTTCAAAGCAGAAGAATGGTTGAAGCAGTTCTTCGGAGCGAAAGAAGAGGAACGGCCAGATGTGAGTGGCTTAACAGCAGCTAGCACAGAAACGGACAAAGACCCAGCAAGAGCAGAAGGAGGCTTGGCCAGGGAAACATATGATCTGCGACTGAGAGTTCCCAAGTAGCCCTCAAAAACTCAAAGAGTTATACTGAAGAAGATAAAAGAGACTTTGCACACTTTGAGAAGATAACAGATTATTACTAAAATTGGACTCACTAACTCCTAAATTCATTGTTTTAAACAAAAAGCTATGTGTTTTATAACTGAGTACTAACCGTTTAAGACCTTCCTTTCTTGGGTTTTTAGTTATAGTGTGGGTTTTTCATTTACTGTCCTGTATCCCGGGGGTTTGTTATTTTTTTTCCCCTTTTCCCCCCTTTTCTTATCTTTTATAGTTATTTAGGTGTAACAAAAAAATAAATAAAGTTACTTACCAAAAAAAAAAAAAAGAAACTGGGATAGCGTCATCATTATTACAAGCTCTAGAGAAAACTAATAGTTTTATTTTTAAAACCACCACACATTTTCTCTATGATGTTTAAGTCAAGGCTGTGGAGATGTGGGGGTCCTATGCCCTGGAATTACGATCACAGAGAGAGGCCCTCCTCCTGACTGTACCGCCAATCAAAGAAGCTCACTTGGTGGGTACACTAGAGAGGGCCTTTTCAGTGGTAGTCCCACAATTACGGAATGACCTCCCCGGGAAGGTGCACCGGGCCCCCTCACTTTCGATCTTCAGGAGGCAGTCGAAGACAGTTTTATTTTGGACTGCATTTGATAAAGTTATTAGCATTTCTAAATTGTAATTTTTAAATGTTTTTATGTATTTTATTTTATGTATTTTATCTATATGGTAAGCTGCCTTGAGCTCCGTTAAGGAAGAAAAGCAGCTAATGTACGCTTCAAATAAAATAAATGACTGAAGAAATGAATATGAGGTTAGGTCAACATATGTAGGTGAATGTAATGAAGTGGGGCATATGCCTGTTGAATGCAAACCCAGAGAAGGAGGATAAGGAGGAGGAGGAGGAGGAGCTTGGATTTATACTCCGCCATTCACTACCTGAAGGAGCCGTACAATCTCCTTTCCCTTCCCCTCCCCACAATGGACACCCTGTGAGGTAGGTGGGGCTGAGAGAGCTCTTCTGAGAACTGCTTGTGAGAGAACAGCTCCGAAACAACTTGTAACTGACCCAAGGTCACACCAGCAGCTGCATTGGGAGGAGTGGGGAATCAAACCCGATTCTCCCAGATTAGAGTCCGTGCTCCTAACCACTACACCAAACAACACTCCTAGCAAGTAGAAAACTCAGCACAGAGAGAGGGTTCCAATAAGAACATAAGAACATAAGAGACGCCAATGTTGGATCAGGCCAAAGGCCCATCCAGTCCAACACTCTGTGTCACACAGTGGCCAGAAATACCAGTGCCATCAGGAGGTCCACCAGTGGGGCCAGGACATTAGAAGCCCTCCCACTGTTGACCCCCCCCAATCACCTGTTCTTCCCCAAAACAAGATTAAAACTTGAAGTTTTAACACGTTTGTTAGTTTTTTAAACATCCAGCATAATAGAGTTCTGGAGAATTGTAAGTTTTGCACATTGTTTTGTGTTATAACTCTGACTCACAGGCCCTTCCTCTCATTCAGGTGGGCCAATTCAGCAGTGGTGAAGAAAGACAATGCATGAAGTTGCTTTATACTGAACCAATGGGCCATCGAGGTCAGTACTGTCTACTCAAGACTGGCAGTGGCTCTCAATGGTCTTAGGCAGAGGTCTTTCACATCACCTCCTACTGGATCCTTTATAACTGGAAAGACCAGGGATGGAACCTAGGATCTTCTGCATGCCAAACAGATGCTCTGCCCTCTCCAAAATACGTGCTCTGGTAATTGGGGTGTGTGCTGGGGTGGTGCACACAGGGCATATGAAAGTCACGTCGCTCTTCTGATTACAGGGAATTGTGACTGTGGCTCTCTGCAATAGGCAGAGTGAGTACCACTGCATCAGGGGAGAGAGTTTGATAGGTGGGATGAGACTTCCAAATTGTTTCCTTGTTCCACCTTCCCCTCTCCTTCCACCCCCGACAATAAAGGTTTTAAATAAAGGTTTTTAATATGCTGTAAGTGGACTTACACTATGGAGAGAAAGTAGATTCAGGTGGGTAGCCGTGTTCGTCTGAAGCAGCAGAACAAAGTTTGAACCCAGTGGCACTTTTAAGACCGATAATTGTGTTGGTCTTAAAGGTGCCACCGGACTCAAACTTTGTTATGGAGAGAAAGGTTACGAGTATTTTGAATAAAGTGAGTCCAGTGGCATATTTAAGACCAATGACGTTTTATTCAATGAGGACATGTGCGTGCACATGGAAGCTCATATACTGAATAAAACTTTGTTGGTCTTAAAGGTGCCATAAGAACATAAGAGACGCCAATGTTGGATCAGGCCAATGGCCCATCCAGTCCAACACTCTGTCACACAGTGGCCAAAAATACCAGGTGCCATCAGGAGGTCCACCAGTGGGGCCAGGACACTAGAAGCCCTGCCACTGGACTCAAACTCTGTTCTACTGCTTCCGACCAACACGGCTACACACCTGAATATTTTGAATAAATGCCATCTGGACAGAAGCCAATGCAAAGGACTTGTGACACTTTGAAGACTAACAAATTTGACTGTGGGCTGTTAGCCCCCTTCGTCAGATGCAAGAAACAAAGCTCTGGCTCACAAAAGCAGACGCCACAACAACAGGGCAATCCCCAGCAGAGTTATTCCTTCCAAGTGCCAGGGGTCATTTTGTAGAAAAAGAGGTGCAGGAGCTCATTAGCATAACTCATTAGCATATGCCACACCCCCTAACATCACCGGAAGTGTGTCAGAAGGCAACACCCACTGCTCAGGCTCCACTGGACTGTTTTGGATTGCTAGCTATTTGGGGGGGGGGGGGAACATGCAGATCTGTCCTCGCAGAGGAGGGAGAGCTTGTACCTGAATAAAACTTGGTCTTAAAGGTGCCACTGGACTGTTTTGGACCAGGGGAGCTCTGCAACTGACCTGGCTGCTTCTCACTCTGACTGACTGCTGCTGGGAGCAGGGGGCAGGGCTTGTTGCATGTGCCCGCCCCCTGGGCTCTTTACTGCCGGAGCTCCGCTCCTGTGCGCTCCTGCAGGAAATGACCCCTGTCCAAGTCTAATGGAATCAATAGGCGTACAGTTATGTCGGGGATTGCATTGTAATGGGCCACAAGGCTTGTTAATGTTTTTAAATAAATACCAGAATCGTGGTGTAACAGAAAAGATGACACTCGGGATCTGGGATCTCTGCAGAGTGTATAGGAATCTCAGGACCATCCCAGAGTCCCCTCCACAAGAAACAAGACTGTCAGAAGGACATCTGGATGCCCACGCTCACCGGTTCTGGAAGGTGTGAAGGCCGACAGGGACACACTGCACCCGCCACTTGCCACTGAGATCTGTGTACAAGACAAATTTGAGGGGCTTCTTTATGCCCAGTTCTTGTTCCAGGGTGAAAAGATGTTCCTTCCACGGGCAACCGCCCTGGCCCAGCAGCAGGATCTCGCCACTCGGGTCGACCTACCAAGAGATGCACAGAGTTTGTTATCAGCTACTGCACCAAACCAATGATTCAGACTGGGAAGAGCTGTTGGCAGGAAAGACGAAGAAATGCACTCCTGTAATTCCACGGAAAATGAACAAAGTCTTGAGTCCAGTGCAGAATCTAGCAACATTATCAGAATCCTGAAGGTCATGTTTTTCCTTCTTCTTCTAAGTTTCTAGTCCTCATGGCTGTATAATTGGGGGGAAGGGGGCAGGAAACAATGCAGTATCCACTAGGAAATCTAGGACTGGAAAAAATGCTAACTGGATCATATCCCTTTTGCACAGCTCTCGTTTCTATCCTTACCCTCCCAGTGGTAAGATGGCATCAGGCAAGAGAGTCAGATGCACATTCATTCATTCATTGCATTTATAAATGGTTTTAAGCTAAAAATGTAAAATTTCCAGAAGTTTTGAAGTTGAGGGGAGGGGAGGTTTTGCCCAAGAGAAAAAGTTAATTTGTAGGGAGAATTTTTTAAATTCAATTAAAAAACCTTTATTAGGCGTTAAGAGAAAATTGAAATATATGCCATACTTAACTTCCTTATCAAACCTCAACATATTTTGCAGTTTTAGAATGTGAAATACATCATTTATATTTTGTTAGTATATAAAATTGTACTGACTGGCATATCTATGAAACATACAAACTACGAGCAAAATGGCAAATACACCCAATATTAATGCCAGAGAGTTGCAAACTGGCGCACCCTATGCTATCTTAGCACATTTCATTCATTCCAAAAGAGAGAGAAAAATCTATTCCATAGGAGCATTCCCCCCCCGCAGTGCTCTCCAACATTTCCCAAATTTTGCACGAGAAACATTAAAAACAGTCTTTAGGGAGGGAAAGTTTTCCCAAGCCTTCACATCTTATGGGACACAGTAAAAGCAAACCATCAACATCAATCAAGAACAGGCACATATCAATCAAAACCCACACGAAAGGCCATCAGAACCAACAGGAACCAACTGTCCACTTAAAAAAAAAAAAAAGATTTACGAAATGAAAAGAGTTTTACAATCCATCCTGAAAGCAGCCAGGACAGGTGCTTTGACATACTGCAACACATTTTGCAAATAGGGGCCACCACAGAAAAAGCCTTGGATCGGGACTGCTGCTGACCTCACCTCCCTAGCGAAGGGATGACAAAGAGAAGCTGCTATGCAGAGTATGTACCACAGCTGAGCAGTGACAAGTGGGACTTGCACATATTTTCAAAAAATGGGACTTGCTTCTGTGTAAGAAATCTCAGCTTGTGCAAAGCAGGTGCTTGCAGAGGAGTTGAGGTCCATGGGCAAGGAAGGCCTTAGATCCTGCCAACTCTTACAAAGCCACCAGGGAAGGGTGAGAGGAGCAAATGTACCTCAAAGCGCTGCTGGATGGCCTCTTCCACAAGGGCACGCGCCGGCAGCCAGCCACGGTGGTAGTAATCAAGCCGGTCTAGGAATTCACTGCCCACCAGCTCCATGGCCTTCTGGAATCCAGCCTGGGAAAAGAAATGGCCATTAAGTTCCAAAGCCCCGGACAACTGCTGCCCTCAAGCAAGCCAGTTATTATTTTTATAAAACTGGTTAAAAACTAAACATCATCGGGGGGGGGGGAGTGCCTTAATACAGAAAATAGTCAAGGACCTGGTATTTCAAGGTGGGCAATATGAGTGGGCCAGTATTCATACCAAAATGCACTTGAGAGTTTCTTGTTGAATTATGTAGACTTTCTGCCCAAAGATATGCAAGAATTTGTTTTAAATGCCATACCTTTGCAAGGTTAGTCTTTGCTAGATACTGGAAGAGGAACAAGACTCCAAATAAAGAGGAGAAACCAAAGGAGTGTATACAGAAGAGTTAAAACTAACCTGTATGTTGCATGGTAAAAAGTCTGATAAACAGAATGTTATTCTGACCAGGATGGTGAATTGAACTTAACGTCTGTATGATTTGTTCATAGAATCAAAGGGGAACTTGCAAAGCTTTGTATCCAACTTTCCTTTTACTGAATAAACTTTTCATTTAAATAAATTGCACTCGAGTGTCCACCATAGTCCTGAATGGCCTCCACGGTTGGGCGGAGCAATGAACCAGACAAGGTTATAATGACTCTTTTAGGCTAATGAGGCAAACTGAGATATTGTACAAGCAACCTATTTATCCAGATCATGGTTCATTCAAAAGGCAAGTTTTATCGGCTCATCCGGGGTCGCTATCAAGGAAACCTGGAATTACGCATGGCCTCAGTTCACATAGTCTGTTCTCACCTGGGCTGATGTCTTAGCTACCCATCTATTTGGAGCATGCCAGACGACAGCCGTGTTGGCGGCCGACCTCTCTCTGCACTGCTCGAGATAAGCAAATGGCTTGTTATCTCGTGTCCTCTCTACTGTGCATCAGCTGAGAGTCATTCCAGGCAGGTGGGGGAGAGACACGTACCCAGCTGCTCCCTAGCCAACGAGTCTTCTGCAAACAGACACCAGTCTGTGGACGTCACGAGCGGTCTGGCCTTCTAGAAAACAGATTAGGGTACCAAGCTGTTGCGCCAGGCCCTTGAACCTGGCTGCACCCAAGCTGGTGCTGAGCCAAGGTCATGATGACTGAATGCAAGATCCCCCAGGTGGAAACCGGGAGGTCAGGAACAGAAGCTGCAGAACACAACCCGTACCCAAATATTTGCTACCTTTTTACTTACTTCCACAATTACTTAATGAAGAGCAGAAGAGGCCACCCTGCAGATATCACACTGGAGAGCTGCGGACCAGGTAAAACGGCCTGCAGCCCATCAGGCATCTACTCAATGTTTCTCGAGGAGAACGTATAAAGAGCCAGTGTGGAGTAGTGGTTAAGAGCATCAGACCAGGAACTGGGGGATCCAGGTTCGAATCCTCACTTATTCCATGGAAGCTCACTGGGTGACTTTGGACCAGTCACACTCTCAGCCTAACCTGCCTCACAGGGTTGTTGTGAGGATAAAATGGAGAAGAGAATGATGTAAACCACTTTGGGTCCTCATGAAGGAGAAAGGTGGGGTATAAATGAAATAAATACATTGCATTTGGATGCTGCCACACAACCAACGCAGAATAGCTCCCTGTTTAGTAAAGTGGGCCAGTTAAGACAACAGGCCCATTTCTTCAATGTTTGGGACCCTGATGCTGGGAAATATTGAAGGTCAAAGAAGACGGGGACGGCAAAGGATGAGATGGTTAGACAGTGTCATAGATGCAACGAACATGAAACTGAGCAAACTTCAGAGGACGGCGGAAGACAGGAGGGCCTGGCGGGATCTTGTCCATGGGGTCGCGAAGAGTCGGACTTGACTGTGCGACTGAACAACAACTAGACTATTTCTTGACTGCTTACCTGTGCCTCAGAAAAATTAGAAAGATCACAAAAGGCATGACTCCCTCCGATATAAAGAACAGTCTGACAGGATTGGGGTGTGAAAGTTAAGGCAAATAGTCTCTGGGCAACCTTCTCTAGAGGTCAGTTGATTCAGAATCGTTACAGGAAAAATATGCTTCAGATAGCTTGGATGTTCATTCCAAGATGGCTAGGGGAAATACTTACAGACATACCCTCACATCACCTCTGCACTAGTTTCACCTTCTCACCTCAGTGTCTTGGTCTCCGTCATTCCAGCGGGGGTTCAGATAGCTCACCCTGGCGCTCACATTGGTGCTCACAGCATAGCAGGGCTCCCCCTCCCACTGGGAGATGCCATTGTCTATCGCGTCAATCTCCTCCACAAAGTTCTCATACAACTGGAGGGAGGAAGAGCAGGGATCAGAAAGGTTTGTTCAGATTAAGGCCCTTGAGAGTGGGTTTATAGGGCAGGGACCCACTAACCCGAGCACTCCTTATAAGCTAGGCCGCAACACCTGTTGCTCGTGGCAACCTAAGAGCTGTTTCAAGCAAAACACAGGGCCACATCACATATACGTTGATCAGCGCAGGAGCTGCTTCCCCGTGGCAAGAGGGCAATGACTGGGTGCTAAGGATCCAGAGGACTAGCATTTACACGTACACTACAGAAGCGTAGGATGAAATGACAACAAAGCCAGCAACTGTGTCATTGAAGGTACTTGTGAATGGGAAAATAAATCGGAGCCATAACAAAATCCACTCGGAGTCCTTGGCAGTTGCCATAGGTACAAATGAAGCTGTCTCATACAGAATCAGACCATCTGTCCATCAAGGTCAGATATATTGTCTACTCAGACTCTCCAGGGCTCCAGGCTGAGGTGCTTAACAGCACCTGCTACCTGATTCTTAACCGGAAATGCCAGGGGATTGAACCCGAGACCTTCTGCATGCCAAGTAGATGATTCTCCACCACTGAACCACAGCCCCCTCCCTGAAGAAGAGGGATTCTGACCAATGTTCCCTCTAAGCTGCGTAGCCTTGCGAGCGAAAATTCTACCTTGTGAGCTACTGGCATTAAAGTTGTGAATGAGCAATTTGGCTACTGGATAAATTAGTTTGCTCTGGAGCCCTCCTTCCTGAGCTGAGACAAAAATGTGTGAGCCGGAGGCTAAAAAACTGTGAGCTAGCTCACACTAACTCAGCTTAGAGGGAACACTGATTCTGACCTCTGTGTGAACCCGTGAAACCGTCTTGGTCTGTCAAGTCCAGTACTGTCTGCTCAGGCTGGCAGCAGCTCTCCAGGGTCTCAGATTGAGGACTTTCACGTCACCTGCTACCTGATCCTTAACGGGAGATGCCTGGGACTGAACTTGGGACCTTCTGCATTTCAAGCAGAGGGTCTACCACTGAGCCGCGGCCCCCTCACCAATCCTGATCTAACGGAACATCCCATACTGGATCCATTTGACAACAGGGGTATACCCTCACCATACACAGCCTTGGAAGAGAAAACAACTGTTTGACCAGGCTGTGCAGTCAACATCAAAGGATCAAGGCATCTATGGGTTTCAGAAGCAGCAACAGCCATAGATGTGGGAGGCTTTCTTTTGCTTCCCTAAAAGGTAAAGGTTCCCTTGCTCGAAAGCCAGCCAAATCCGACTCTAGGGTTGCGGTGCTCATCTCCGTTTCAAAGCCGAAGAGCCAGCGCTGTCCGAAGACGTTTCCGTGGTCATGTGGCCGGCATGACTAAACACCAAGGTGCACGGAACGCTGTTACCTTCCCACCGAAGTGGTACCTATTTATCTACTTGCAATTTCTTGCTTTCGAACTGCTAGGTTGGCAGGAGCTGAAACTAGAGACGGGAGCTCACTCCGTCTCGCGGCACCCGGGTCTCGAACTGCTGAACTACTGACCTTCCACAGCCTGCAGTTCAGCGTCTTAAGCACTTGAGCCACCACAGCTCCCTACTGGCCCACAAATTGACTGAGAAGCCCACTCCTCTGCAAAAAGGGCCTGACATCCAAGTGTTCCAGGGCACATATTCAATTCATACAAGGCAGGGCCTGTAGGACTTTGCCGTTATGCTGAGTGCATTCAGAATGCAACCTAGAATGCATCCAGAATTTTCTTGTGGGGGCACAGAGGAGGATTATAATGGTGGGCAAGTTGCCTTATTGATCTTCTCATAGATGATGTCACCCAGGCTCCATGAGACTCCAGGTGGTCCTCCATGAGCACCCAGGTCTACCCAAGGAAGACCTGTGTTCACTGGAACATTGTCTGGAAGCCACTATGCCATAGAGCACGTACCTCGAAAACAAAAAACTCCAGACGGGAAAAGAGAAGCCAGGAACAATCCATAGCATTCCACACACGCACTTCTGAGCCACCAGTCCCATCACTGACTCAGAGCCGGGGACACTGGCAAATCATTCCATTAGTTGGAAGGGGCCATACGGGCCACCTAGTCCAACCCCCTGCTCGATGCCGGATCTGTCAGAGCATCCCTGACAAGTGTTTGCTCAGCCGCTGCTTCAAGGCTCCCTAGGCAGCTGATTCCACTGTTGCACAACTCTTACTGTAAAAAGGGTTTTCCTAATATCCAGGCGGTACCTTCCCGCCCTTAATTTAAACCCAATCTTGCGAGTCCTCTCCTCTGCTGCCAACAGGACCCGCTCTCCTTTAAGTGACAGCTCTTCAGATACTTCAAGAGAGCAGTCATGTCCCCACTCAACCTCCTCTTCTCCAGACTAAACATTCCCAAGTCCCTCAGCCTTTCCTCAGAGGGGTTGTTCTCCAGGCCCCCCGGACCATCCCTGTCGCTCTCCTCTGCACCCGCTCCATTCTGCCCATGACAGGAGGCCTCCAGAACTGCACACCGTACTCTAGGTGTGGCCTGACCAATGCGGTGTACAGCAGGACCATGACATCTTGTGATTTGGATGTTATGCTTCCCTTGAGACACCCCAAGACCGTAGCAACCTTTTTTGCCACTGTATCACGCGGACTGCTCATATTTAGCTTACAGGTGCTTGCGAATAAGCATTCTGAAACGTGCTCCCCCAATCTGAAGAGCTTCAGAAGGAAGGGGGCCAGAGTTTGGCTATATTTTCTTCTTCAACTATTATGGAGACTTTTAAGATTGGGAGGAGGATCAGCCACCACCTTCAATTTTATATACCGCTCACCCCCTGAGGGCTCTGAGCGGTTTACATGTTCCATTAATGCCAATCCACACACATTTCCCTTCCCAGCTGGTACCTTGTCATAGAGCACCCGCACGACAGGATCCTCTTCCTTCAGGCCCAACCGGTTGGCCAGAATCTGGGAGCCAAAATGGAAATACACTAGCCCCGCACTGCTCAGCTTGGTCTGCCAAGGTTTATTCGGGTTCAGGCTGTGCATCGACTCTCCAAACGATCTGCAGCAATCAGACAGGGACCAGGGAGAGCAATTCTTATTTGACCCAAGGTATTTATATACTGCTTTTGACAAAAAAAAAATGTGGCCAAAGCGATTTCCAAATCAATACAGTCAATATAATAGAATGAACCTGAAACAAATAATAGCGGCACGACAGAGAGTAAAACTGCACAGAAGCAATGCCAAGTTAAAAACAAAAACCAACAATTCGAACAAAACAGTGTCAAATGACAACTCTCCCAAGTCAAAAACTTGGGGGGGGGGGGGGGGGGGGGGGGTATTATCCAGACTCAGAAGGAACAGAGCGATTGCTGAGAAAATAAAGATGTTTTATCCCAGCACCAAAAAGTTAAAGGCAGAGTGTTGGGCAGAGTGTTGGGGAGGCATTCCACAGCCGTTTCCTCACCACTGGAAAAGTCCCGTCCCTCCCTGGCCACCCACCTCACCTGGGGGGGAGGCGTTATGAAGAGCAGGGCCTCAGAAGGGGGTCTCAAAATCTGAACAGGCTCACTGGGGAGCAAGCAATCCTGGCTGGGACCCTAGACTAGCCCTCAGAGTGCATTAAGAGCGGCTATAGAGAGAAAAGAGAGCATTACAGCTCTCTCCCCCCCTCCGAGCTGACAAGAATTCACACCTCTGCTACTCAGAAGTGAAGAGTTCCTAATGGCTGCAGAACTGGCAGTTCTGTCTCAAGCCAAGGAGGCCAATATAAGTTCCCAAGCAGTCTGTAACGGTGGCATCATACCACATCAGCAAACAAAAAACTGGAAGGCATCAACAGCGCAGAGGGAGTGGAAGGAGATCAGCATTAATGAGACACATTAATGAGCACATTTTATGCAAACTGCAGAAGGTTTTTCTGGATACACAGATCCCTTCCTCTTCCCCCATTAGGGCTGCCTCTCTTACAGTTTCCCAATGCAGTGGAAGGGAAGGCAGCCATTGCTTGTCTGTGCTCCCAGATAGAGAGACAGCATGGTGTGGTGGTTAAGAATGGCAGACTCTAATCTGAAGAACTGGGACTGATTCCTTGCTCCTCCATATGAAGCCCGCTCAGTGACCTTGGGCCAGTCACAGTTCTCTCAGAACTCTCTCAGCCTCGCCTACTTCATAAGGTGCCTATTATGGGGAGAGTAAGGGGAGGAGATTGTAAGCCACTTTGAGGCTCCTTAAGGTAGAGAAAGGTAAAGGTTTCCCTTACTCAAAAGCTAGTTGAATCCAACTCTAGGGCGCAGTGCTCATGTCCATTTCCAAGCCGAAGAGCCAGCACTATCTGAAGATGTTTCCGTGGTCATGTGGCTGGCATGACTAGACGCCGAGGCGCACGGAACGCTGTTACCTTCCCATTGAAGCGGTACCTATTGACTTGCAACTTCTTGCTTTCAAATTGCTAGGTTGGCAGAAGCTGGGGCCAGAGACAGGAGCTCACTCCATCACGCACTAGGGTCTTGAACTGCTGGACCACAGACGTTCTGGTCTGCCGCTCAGTGTCTTAACCTCTGAGCCACCGTGGCTCCCAAAAAGGTAGAGAAAAGCAAGGTGTAAAAACATACTCTTCTTCTCCCCAGCCCTGTCACCAGAAATTCTCCCTTGCGTGCTCCAGGAGAGCACGAAGGGATGGGGAGCTGGAACTGACTTTCCTCTTGCTGTATTGAGACATCCAACGGTATACATGAAGGATCTCAGCAGTACCTCTGGTGATGGTCATAACGATGCTTCTGTGGGTCGTATTCACCCCCAACGTCCACCACCACATCACACTCCGAGAGCAACTTGGGATCTCGCGTCCGGACGATCTCTGCATCCTGTTGGGCACACAAGGAGATGCTAGAAATGTGCCAAAGCAGTGAAACGAGTATGTCTTGACACTACCCCAAGCCTTTGCCTTTTGATCACTGTTGCCTCACTGCCTTTTTCTCGACTGGTGTTAGCCTTTGCCATGGCCAGTCCACAGAAAAAGAGACACAAAGAGGACCCAGTGTTTCCACCAGCATGGTGCAGTGGTTACGATTGGCAGCCTCTAATCTGGAGAACTGGGTTTGGTTCCCCACTCCTCCACATGAAGCCTGCTGGGTGACCTTGGGCCAGTCACAGCTCTCTCAGAACTCTCTCAGCCCCACAAGGTCCCTGTTTTGGGGACAGGAACGGAAAGGCGATTCTAAGTCACTGAGACATATGAGGTCTGCTGGGTGACCAGTGGCCAGTCACAGTTCTCTCAGAACTCTTTCAGCCCCACCTGCCTCACAAGGTGCCTGTTGTGGGGAGAGGAAGGTAAAGGCAATTGTAAGCAAGGTTGAGACTCCTTAGGGTACAGAAAAGCAGGGTATAAAAAAACAACTCTTTTTCTTCTTCACATAAATGCACATAATGTACAAAACCAGTCCTGAATAGTTAAAGTAGCATTCTTGCATGCGAGATTTTGAGTCAAGAGTGCACACTCCAACATCTGTGCTGATCTGCAGGGATTCAAGAAGGGTTCTGGATCACATGAGATCTGCATCCTGGATGATCAGGGCCTCTGAAACTCTCCTTATATAGTACTTGCAATTCATGTAGACAGCTACTTTAGGAATAAATCTGGCTGAAAGGTAGGCTATTATTCCTAAACCTGTATTAGATACAGCACCAGACCGGGATCTGGGAGACCCGGGTTCAAATCCACACTCTGCCATGAAAGCTTGCAGGGTGACCTTGGGCCAATCTCTGAGATTCTCACCTTAGCCTACCTCACAGAACTGTTGCTGTGAGAATAAAATGGACAAAGGATGCTCTGAGCCACTTTGGGTCCTGGTTGGGGAGAAAAGTGGGGTTTAAATTTCTAAATAAACAATCAGCAATTGTAAGAAAGTTGGCTTCTTTTCTTTGTGCATCAAACAAGCTTTTGCCTCTTAAGACTGTAAACGCACGTGGCTAGACTTTCCACGCCTCTTATCTTGCTAGGAGCCAAAGAGAATATATGAAAAACGTAACTATGTGAGAAATTCTGATTTTTAAACACAAAGCAATTACAATCCTGATTAACAGAAAAGTCGGAAGCAAGAACGTCCTGCCAACTGAATGGAGGGGGATGCTTTTTGCATTCTGCATTTCTACCGACAGACACTGAAGGCGTGTACTTCCATGCAACGGGGGGCTGGCTGACTTTTTGCCCGGATAAAATAGCGCGTGTGCTTTAAAGCAACACGGCATCTAATAGTAGTAACACTAAGAACAAAACCAATGCAATTTGGAGCGCCTGCAGAATGTACATAAATTACGAGAGAGGGGGGTGAGGGGGGTGAGGGGGGTTCCTCCGGGGGGGGGGGGGGGGTGTCTTCATATCAGCTTTGCTGTCTGACATCTTCCCCGTCCTCTCTTCGTGGAACAGGGACGTGTGCATTTAAGGGGAGAAGGGAACCACCCGGGAAAGGATGTTGGATCAAATCCAGATCAAGCTTTTGGATCCTGTCTGATCCGGATTGCATACCTGATAAGAAGGAAGCAGGCGCAAAAGAAAACAAGCGAGCGCCTCGTCGCAGTGGAAAGTACCCCCGTGGGTGCCAATGCGGGCCGGGTGTGGGCGCTTTGGGCCAGGCATGAGACCCCGAGCCAAGCGTGGAAGCACACGAGACACTCGGAGCATGCGCATGACGACAGAAGCCGGGGCCTTCACGTTTAATCCCCAGCCAGAATGAGCGTCTTTACCGTATTCCTGGGAGTGCAAACGCGTCCACAACTACCCCACGGACAAGTGGAGGTGATTTTTTAAAAGAAAGAATTCCCCTGACAGGAGTAAGAATTTCCCTTCCTAGGACAACATTGTGTACGTGTGTGTTTTAATTCCACCAAAAGTATGTGAAGATTAACAGAATAATAACTTTTATATAGATTTTTTAAAAAAAAAACCCTCCCCACGAATAGGCCAGGCCAAAAAATAATAATTAAATGACTGTAGTGAAACCTTCGCCACAAGTCACTCACAAACTTAAATTACTTGAGAGAGCCAGTTTGGTGTAGTGGTTAAGTGCGTGGACTCTAATCTGGGAGAACCGGGTTTGATTCCCCACTCCTCCACTTGCACCTGGCTGGACGACCTTGGGCAAGCCGTAGTTCTGATAAGAGCTGTTCTTGAAAAAGAGCAGTTTTTGTCAAGAGCTCTCTCAGCCCCACCTGCCTCACAGGGTGTCTGTTGTGGGGAGGGAAGGGAAAGGAGTTTGCAAGCCGCACTGAGACACCTTTGGGTAGTGAAGGGCCGGGTATAAATCCAATCTCCTCCTCCACAAAGAATACCTTGTGACAGAGTTTAGAGTTGCCAGCTCCAGCTTGGGAAATTCCTGGAGATTTGGGAGTGCCAGCGTTCGTTTTGGATACGGTTGCCAGGTCCTACCTAGGGGGGGGGGGGGAAGCTTCCTGGGTCCTGCCTGGGATCTTCTGCCACATGCGCAAAGGGTATGGGGTGTTGTGTCCTGGAACTGCCACCAGGCAGTAGCCAGGCAAGCAGAGCTTGATTCCCAAAAGAACAATAGGGACTAGGCTCCTAAGGTCCACTAGGGGAACCAATAGAAACCTTGGCAGGAGATTCAAACCCCCCAATGGAATCTAGGGGTGGTCCCTTGGAAATGTATATAGTTGGCCACTTGGTCGTTTGTTGTTGTCTTTGTAGTGTGAAAGCACTGAGTAAATGCATGTTTCTTATGTCGTGGTCCGAGTCAATATGTATCGAACCGAGTACTTTTCATGGGGTGCGATGACACCACCCCAAAGTGATGTCATCGCATCACAGCCGTCGGGGTTGACACTCTAGTTTTTGGGTAAAACTCCATGGTTTTCTGCCTTCAAAACCATAGAGTTTGCCCAAAAACTAGAGATTCTCCCCCGATGGCGGCAACACAATGATGTCACTTCCAGGTGATGGGCAAAACTTGTTTGGGGGTAGGGCTTCCCACCAGCTGGCTGGCGGATTGCAACCTTGAAAATTGGGAGAACCCCAACCTGGTAGGGCAACTCTAATTTTGGAGGATAAAGCATTGGGAGTATTATATTCACTGCCTTATTTACAAATAAATACACACAGAGCACAGGTGGTGTTAAATAGTGGGTTCAAGAGGCTATCCTGATTTCAGCATATCTCTTTATTTCAGTAAGGTTAAGAACAACACATGCAGTGGGCCGCAACTATATACAAAACCCCGACCGAGGTCACACAAGAGCTGCACCGCAGTAGCACCTCCCTTTGCCCCGCTTCTGTTGGTCAATTTCCCACTCAAAGCCACGCGACCACATTTTGACCCACGGCTTTGCCCGATTTTCCCCATGGTTTCATGATCCTGTTTTTTGGGACCTGGGAGGGCCAGTCGGTTTTGTGACCCTGACTGTAGTGCTCTCTGGGCTATATATGGGGAAAGGCAGTCCCTCAGGTAAGTCGGACCCTGGCCATAAAGGGCTTTAAAGTTAAGAACCAGCACCTTGAAGTGAATCCGGTATGCTATCGGCAGCCAGTGCAGTATCTTCAGGGCAGGCTGGATATGCGCCCTCATGGGGAGACCCATCAAATGGCTAGCCACTGCATTCTGCAGTAGCTGCAGCTTCCAGATCTGCAACAAGGGCAGCCCCATGTAGAGAGTGTTACAGTAGTCTAGTCTTGAGGTAACCAGGGCTATTTTTGGGCAGGAACGGAGTTCCGGCTGGCTTCAGAGTTGGTCACGCCCACTACAGCCAAAACCTCTGCATGCGTGGCTACAGAGGGAAGGCCTGAAGACCGACACCCCCATGGGCAACTCCGAGGTGGGTGGGCCAGGGGGGCCCCTGGAAAAATCAAGGAGGAATTTAAATGCCTCCCCATGTCTGTCCAAGGGCCGGCTTGCCCAGGCAAGCCAAGGGAAGGCATGGGGGCGTGGCCTAATATGCTAACAAGCTGCACTGTCAGGGATGTGCCCTAATATGCTAATGAGTTTCTGCTGTTGGGTGTGGTCCATTATGCTAATGAGTTCCTGCTGGGCTTTTTCTACAAAAAAAGCCCTGGCGATAACCATTGTGTGGATCACCGTTGCTAAGTTGTTGCGTTCGAGGAAGGGAACCAGCTGCCTGATCAGCCGAATCTGCATCGAATCCAGGAATGTGGGGACTGATTTGGATTGGGACCATGGTGGGAAAGAGGAAGCGTAAACCTTCTCCCCAAGCCATTTTTCTGACCTGAAACAGCCACAGGAAGCTGACGTTTGTCTCATAGGGACAGCTGGCCAGATCATGTAAGATTCTGTAATGGTGTAAAAGGCAGCCATCTGGGGATTTTTTAGGTCAAGAAAATGGCAGGGGTGGGGTAGAGGGGCTGAAGGATGCTTTCCCCACACACCCTGGTCTCCATTTGTATTGACCCTTGTACACCTGCAAATTGAGTTTTGCACATAAATGTTGCAGCATATATCTGATTGCCAGGACACAGAGAGGATGCAAGAAAATGTGAAGTTAGGCCTTGATTCTGGCTCCCACCAGGTTTTCTCTTTAGGTAAAAAAACATAATTGGAATTGGGCAACAAACTCACAATAATATCCTGCTATGCCCCTTCCCCAAATCTGCCCTGTTAAACTCCGTGTTGTATTTTGTATCTGCTGCTATGTTCTGCTATGGCATTGGACGTGTATTTGTATACTCTCCCCTACCTTATCATTCTGTGCCTCTGATTATACCATGCTACCCTGAAATCTTGCTATGCCCCTGATATATCTTCCTCTACCTCCCTCCTCCACCATGTCTTGTTATGCCCTTGACATATTTGGCTGGAATAATCTTCTATGCCCGCTATATCCTGCTACATGATATATTTTGTTATGCCCCCTGAAGTATTCTTTTGCACTACTTAAAATGTCTTGTTATGCCTGCTGAGATATTTCACCGCCTGGTATATCTTGCTACACCACCAGAAATATAACACTTTGCCCTGTAATATCTTCTTGTTGTTCCTTTATCCCAAATCCCCAGTTGGGGTGTTAAGCCCTGGTTCCCTCCTAGTGTGCATTTAACCTGGATCAAAGTGATACAAGAAAATTCTGACTACAGAGGACAAAAGATAGAGGTTGAAATGAGTAAAGGGCCCCTGCCTAATTCATTCATGCTAGCGGGATGCAAATATGCCACCTCCAGAGAGCCTGGAATAAAAATGAAAAACAAATAAAGAAACTAACACAAAACCTTGACTCAGTGCCTCACCCAAAAGACTGGCATTGAGAGGTGGGAAGAAGGAGAAGGAGAAGAGTTGGATTTACACCCCACCCTTCATTCAGAGTCTCAGAATGGTTTACAATCTCCTTCCCTTCCTCTCCTCACAACAGACACCCAGTGAGGTAGGTGGGGCTGAAAGAGCTCTGAGAGAACAGCTCTTGAGAGAACAGCTCTGAGAGAACTGGGACTGGCCCAAGGTCACCCAGCTGGCTGCATGTGGAGGAGTGGGGAATCAAACCTGGTTCTCCAGATTAGAGTCCACCGTTCTTAACCACTACACCAAACTGACTCAGATAACAGTTAGGAACTTCTGGGAACTACTTTTGTTCCTTTTTAATACCAAAATCATTACTCACATCTAGGACTAACCACCAACCCATTCGCACTCCCCCCCCCATTTATCCCCTTTTTTATCCATCATTTGACACATTGTTCCAGGTTTGATACAGTGTGGATTAATCTTTCAACCCCATCCCTACAGTTTTGACATGGTAAACAGGATTGCACTTACCTGTAACTAGGGTTGCCTGACCTCAGGCCCTGACCTACCCCCCGCTGCTGCTGATCAGCTGGCCGGTGAAGAAATTTACCAGGCGCAGGAGGGAGGCCCAGGGTACATCACTGGTGATGTGTACATGCTGGAAGTGATGTCATTATGTTGGTTATGTCCCAGCGATACTCTGGTATTTGGTCAACCACTCTATGGTAGAAGCCATTCTTACTGTAGGCTTTTTGCCCAAATATAATTAAAAAATGAATATAATTTGTAGATTTTTTATCAACACAAAAAAACAACACTTAGCCACTTTGTGTTTTTACCCTGGGGCCAATGCTCCCTCTAATGCTGTGGAGTCTTGTGAGTGCAAAAATTCTACTTTGTGAGCTTCTGGCATTAAAGTTGAGAGCGAGCGATTTGGCTACAGCATAAATTAGTTTGCTCTGGAGCCATCCTTCCTGAGCGAAGACAAAAACGTGTGAGCTGGAGGCTAACAAAACTGTGAGCTAGCTCACACTAACTCAGCTTAGAGGGAACACTGCCTGGGGCCCAGACTCACAGCATTGGTGGCGGGAGCGGCTGGGGAAGTGGTTTCCCCCCTCTCCAGGCAGCGCAGGGGTGTCTGCCCAGCACTACACCACTGGCTCTCCAGTCCACCCGTGAGGGTTTTCCTCTGCACCCTCCCTGCCCATGGCGCTTTGCAGTGAGGGTACACCAACTTGGAGCATACCAGTGGTGTCCTTTCTAAAGTTTGTAACTCCGGTACCTGGCATTACATTTTATGGCTCACATGGCCCAGTGGACAAAGTGACATTTATTTTAGATCTGGCCCTCGTAACAAACGAGTTCGACACCTCTGATCCAAAGGGTCCTCAGTTTGTCCATTCCTTGAATTCTTTGAGTACCTGCTAAAGGC